CTGCTGATGCAGCTAAAGATCATAAGATCATAAATTTTGCACTGAAGAGAACTCAGAGGTCATTTAGTCCAATACTATTATTTTACAGACGAGGAAACCAAAACCTATGGGAACTAGGTGATGTCCCAAAGGTGGTATGTAGTAAATATCAGAGGTCAGTTTGACCCCAGGACCTCTGACTCCACAGTCAATGCTCTTTTCCCTCTACTCTGGTGGATTAGCCTTTTTTAATGCCATAAAATATTATTGACTGTATTTGAGATGTAGTCCACAAATCTTTTTTTTTAATCTAATCCAATAAATATTTACTAAGTGCCTACTATGTACCAGGCACTGGCCTAAGATATCAGTGCTGCTCAGTCAAAATGCTATCCCACCATGTACTTATAAGAAAGATTTTTTGAACCCAAGTATAAAACTTGACATTTACCCCTATTAAATTTCATCTTATTGATTTGAGATCTTTTATATTCTGATTGTCATTTCTTCCATATTTATGCTATCTGGGAATTTAATAAGCATGCTATTTATGCCTTGTCCAAGTCATTTACTAAAATTTTAAGCAATACATGACCCAGAACATATTCCTGGGACACTTTGCTAAAACTTCTCTACAAATTGACATTTGCCTATGTCTATATAGATAGTTCCAAAATTATATTTCTGTTCTTAACTAGACCATCCTAACTAGTCTATGCCTCCTGAATTTTAGATCCATTTCTTCAACTGCCTACAGAACATCTCCATCTAGGTTTCCTGCCATCATCTCAAACTCAGTATGTTTAAAACAAAATTCATTATCTCCTTCCTTCCAAAGAAAAAAGTTGGTTTCTGCTTTGGATTTTGCTTTTTCTTTTAGCTATACTACCATTGCTATACTTCTCTCATCTATGCTACCATGCTTTAAACTAAGATATTATCTTTCACTTTTCTTTCTCCTTCATCTCACATTTCCAATCATTTACCAAGTCCTGTTAATTCTAATTTGGCATTAACTTTTGCATCTGTCCTATCCTCTCTCATTTCCCATTGTCCCTCCCCTAATCCTTATTACTGTCCACCTTAACTATTGAAATGAACAACCAAATTGTCTTCCTTAAATGAGTCTATTCTCATGTAATGAGTGCTCTCCTCACAGCTCTTTCATTGCTCCTTATTATGCACTACATGAAGTTCAAACTCCTTAGTCTCCCATTTAAGACCTTCCACAATCTGGCATCATCTTACCTATCCACCCTTAACTCACACTCCTTTTATCACACATGAAATAAATTCAACTAAAATGAAGGAATCTCCATCCTTAGCACATATCCTGCCTTGTCCAGTCTTCATGCCTTTGCTCACGTTGTTTCACTTACCAAAAATTCCTTATTCCATTAGTTCCTTTCCCCCTCCCTGATCTCTGCCATATTCATCTGTTGAAATTCAACCTATCCTTTAAGGTCTAGCTCAAATGCCCTCCATGAAACCTCTACTGATCTTCCACAACAATAAAAATCCCACTCTTCTGGGATGTCACAGAACACTTAGTTTGTGAGGATTTTAATGTACTGATCATGTTGTAAATCCTTGACTGGGCATGAGACTAGGGTATATGTTTTAATCAATCTGCATATTTCACCCAACAATTAGCACAGTGCTCTGTATGTATGGTCATAATAGGTAAAAGATGGTATAAACATCTGTCAAAGTTACAGTTTTCATAATCTTCCCAGGAGCTATCCAGGGTACTTGACTACCTCTGCCTTTCTTCACTCCTATCCTCCTGACTTCAACTACTCCTGAAATCATCCATCAGTCCCAAGCCTTATCATGCCTATCTCCAACTAACCCTTAACCAGCTACCTGCTCCAACTTGGGCTTGTGGATAAAGAGTTTAATGGAACATTGAAAAGTGTTAACTGAGATTTTTTTTAAAAGACAAATAAAGGTGAAAGATGAAAAGGGGAAGAAGAGAAGAAAGTGAATAGAAATGGTTATTTAAAAAAAGAAAGGATGGAGAAAACATCTTTTCTATTTGGCTTTGTAAAATATTGTATTTTGGAACAACTGGGTCAGTGGTTCACTAGGTTAAATTCTGTAATAAACTCATTAGCTTTATCTGAGATTGCAATGGCTCTATAAACATTACATTTATTTGCAGTTATCCAGCAAAATCCTACTCAGAATATCCTGTTTTCAAGAAGAGGTTCTAATTTTTAGCATAAAGTAATTTTAGCATAAAGTAAAGGAGCCCTTCACAAGATATTGCTTCACACTAGTGAGCATTCAGAATTGAACTGTAAGTCATTCTGATAAATGAATCTATAGATATAAAACATGTGACAAGATAGGCTCATTTTCCTCTACTGTTTCATCATGGAATGTATGTTTTATTTTTCTGTCTTCTGTAGGCTTAATGCTTCTTAAAGGAAGTATCAGATTCAATAGAAATACATACTGTGTGGAACCTAAACACTAACTACTAAACTAAGAAAGGAACAATAATAAATGAAGATTTTTTATTGCTTCTCCAAAAAATATCTAATTTATGCAAAATATTCTGATTTTTGTTTAAATATTTAATTATCTACCTTTTCCTTTTTAGCTCCTCTGGTATACTTGTTAGTTTCAATACACAATTGGTACTTAATTTTGCATTCTGCTATTGTGTAATTATATCATAAGGGTATTTTGTCACCCCACTTAGACAAAGTTCTCTGTAGCACAGATATAGTCTTCTTTTAGATCCTTCAAAAAACCTAGCATACTATATCAGATTGCATGCCATTTTGGAGAGGGAGGTGGGGAGGAAGAGAGAGAAATTTAAAACTCAAAAGCTTATGGAAGTGAACGTTGAAAACTAAAAATAAGCTAATTTTAAAAAAAACTAACATAGCACACAAGTGGGCATTCTAAATACTTAGAATCTTATAACTTTCCAACTTTTTTAGAATTCATCTAGATCAATGCCCTAAATTTAGGCAAAAAGAAAAAAGGGGGGGCCAGGAGGTTAAACAATTTATATGAGATTTTAGACCTACTTAATGAGAAGAGAAAGAGCTAGGCCTAGAACCCAAATCTCCCAACTTCCAGGCCCCAGTTCATTCCACTCTACTATGCTATCTGCTTTATTGAAACACTGATAATTAGGATTTGATCAGACTAAACATAAAACGAAATCACAAAGAAAAAAAAGACAGGACTGTAACCAAAAAAATAATAATATGTATAGACAGGTACACACTAAACTCCCAAAGTGTTAATATTTCTTTCTGAAATTAGATCTGTCATCATTAACTGATGGGGACCAGTCCCTCTGCCTGTAAACATTTTAAAAATAGAGATCAGATTTTTTAGAATGTCATCAATTTTACAGAAATACCATTGCAAAAAAGCCAATTATAAGTCACATAATAATAGCATGTTATGAAGGATGTTGAAAGCATAAAGTACTACAGAAAATGCTTTTAAACTGGACCAGATCGACCTCTCTGATAACTCTATGAAAAATAGTAATAGTTGTACAAAATCATTCTATTGACGATGCAAGGGGAAATGGACCATGAGTACCATCTCCCAATTTCCAGGTTATTCCATGCAATGAAAAGCATTAATACCCAACCAATGAAGACCAGTTCCACAAGCATCTCCTAATAATTTAATAGGCATTGGTTCTCAATAAGCTTTATTAAGCCTAAGATCCCTAAGAGAAAAGCACACAGGGAACATTTAAATAGTATCATAGGGGAATATTGATGGCCAGGGAACACTGGTGGTGCTCAAAAACCTAGATAATGAGGACTTCCAATATGTCACCATTCTGAACAAATGCAGCTAGTTAACCAAGAACTTTTTAGGATCTCTCAAATACTTCTCTAGTGCAATCATTTGAGAAATAAACTGTATCTCCTCCAAAAGCAATTTACATAACAGACAGGGTATTCACCCCCCATGGGCTAGAGATAAAAGCCAGCTGGCTTAAGAGAACTGTATTTGGGGAAAGAATGGGCAGGAATAGAAGACAAATTTTATAGGGGAACACTTACCAAATGTTATTTAATGTTGATGATAGCTCCCTCACTACTAAAGTCACCAGCCACTGAACTTATAGTTTTCTAAACTGAACTAAATGATAAAATTTAAGATTGTGATGGGGCTGCAGAGGAGAAATATTACATATGCCATCAGAGACATTCATTGAGCTAATTGGATTCTGTGCTTAAGAGAGTTTTCTTGGTTATAATAGAAGGCTCACTAGGCTGGGAGGAAGGGGAGGAAGGCTAGATCTGGATGTGACTGACACAAAAACAAAAAGCATCAATAAAAATTTGTAAAAGATATGACATGTCTTACTCTATTATCCCTAAACTTTGCTCATTGGCAAGGTATCTTTCCTCTACCTCTCTTTCTCTTAATCCACTGGAGAAGGAAATGACTCTCTCTCCCCCTTTCTATCATCTTCTTTCTCTCTTCTTCCACCCTTAAAATAAGATGTGATCACCTTAGAGACTTCAAAATTCACAGCAGATGTTAAAGAACTCAGCAATAGCTACTCTAAGATCAGCTAGCCTTTTTTTTCCTGATGTTCTTTGAGAAGCAACATAGTCTAGTGGGAAAAAATAAGCACTCAATCGGATCAATTTTCAGTTCTGCCATTTACCATCTATGCGTCCTTGCGAAATTCATGTTACTTCTCTGGGCCTTAATTTTCTCATTTGTAAAATGTGGGGATTAGATTAGGTGACCTGTAAGGTTGCTCTCAGCTCTAAATTCATGTTGCTATAAGCCTTGGCTTTCCCCAGTATTCACTTTTAGTTCAATTCAACAAACATGCATCAAGTGCTTGGGAGAGCAGAGATACAATTTGTAGCTTAATCTATCTTTAAAAAAATCCAAGTTGGTCCCACCAACTATGAGTGCATATGTTAAATGAACTCAGTCTGTAATATTTCTTCCTTCTTAATTACATATATTGTTCTCTGAGGAATAAACATGTTGATTAATTGTTTTCAACACACTATTACCTTGAATGCTTCTTTTGAAGAAAGCCTTACAGCCCTCGCAGGACCAGACACCATAGTGGTAGCCTGAAGCATAATCATTGCACACTGCGCAGTAGCGAGTCTCCTTGGTAGATTCCATGGCTAGGGTTCCCTTATCACCAGCACTGGCCAATCTTTCCCTACCATTCTGGCGCCGGTTGTCTGAAGCTGGCCTGGAAAACAAGCACAGAATAAATCCACTGACATTAGGAAAGCAACATTTTCATTCTGTACTTAAGAATGAAGAAAAAAAGAAGAAAAAAAAACCCATGACAAATCCACCTTATTCTGACATTTTGAAATAATGAATCATAATGTAAGCTAATCTTTCATTAGCTCTTGCTGTCTGCTGTAGCAAAAGGTGTTTGCCTATTATATTAACCTTGAGGGGAAATTGTTTATTAGGAACCTGCTAGGAAAGCTGATTCCCTGCACCAGAATATATTAACTAAGTCCTTACTCACAGAAAAAGGAAACAAACTGGCCTCTAATAGACTTTTAGATTTTTCTCAGAGATTCACAGTTAATTCAGAATCGTTAGAAACTAATGCACATTCTAATTCTAGTACACACCAGGGCCTTAGGGAGGACCAAGGCAGAGCAGAAAACAGCTGTAGCATTTGGAATTTGGAGAGGTTGAACTGGTGTGGAACCAGGGTGCTGTAAATTAAAAGTCCTGTTGCCATCAGATAAACCTGGACATCAAGAAGGTGTAAACTAACTTCTCATCTATAAAGTGAAAAAAGTTTCGTGGATTACCTCTAAGGTTGCTTCCAGCTCTAAACTTCTTTTACTCTTGTGATTCTAATTGGCCAAAGCTATCCTGTACACTTAACTGCTTGCAACATCACTGTTGAAACATACAAAGTTGATACTGTGAAATCAGACTGTCACAGTAAGGTGTATCATAGACAGACAATAGTAAGGGTAAAGCCACTTTCTCTGTCTCTGAATTGTAGTTGCTACTTAAGGAAATAAGATTCTGTTGTATCCTTATGAATGATAACAGTGTAGTAGAAAGCATATTGGACTTGGATTCAGAATAGATGGGTTCAAATCCTAGTACTTACTTGGGCAATCCATTAATTATTCTGAGTCTGAACTTTCCTTATCTGTAAAATGAAGGGGTTAGATTAGATAACTTCTAAAGTCTCTTTCAGCTCTGAATAATATGATAACACTAATCAAACTCTTTAAGGGATTTAATTTATGAAATTAAGGTTTTTTTCAAAAAGCAGGTAATTTTTACCCTTTCAAAAGTCCATGGGGAGTCCTCATAGTCAGAAAAAGGCCTGACAAATGGCTAACTAAAAAAGTCACCCCTTCTGTGCTGGTACCAAAATGGACTAACTATGAAAAGTAGTGTATATATAGAAAAGACTGTGGATCAAACTTTTTTTTTATTCAAACACATATGCTACAATATTATTTTTAAATAAAAAAATGAGGGGTGAATACATGTAAATACAAACACATACATAGTCACATATCTGTCAAAGACTTCCATATTCATTTAGTAACATTATTCTGCTTTCCATCACAAGGGAAAAGAAAAAACATTCTTATTTATCAGTTCAAGTTATCAAAGTTGCTTTATTACACTTTATATTTGATCCAAGAAATTCACAATTTTCATATTGCTATGACTGCCATATTTATATATGCTCTTAAATTCTAATTCTATTCTATAGGTTTCTAAGACCATAATAACACAAGTGGTCCTCAATTATAAGAGAATCTCTTCATTTTCTAGGTGGCAATTTACTTGTGGAATATAATATTACCAAGAAACTCCATTTAAATATTAATTCAAGAATAATGTTTTCTGTGCTCAATGCTCCTTTTCACAATTTATTAAATATTTACATTTTCTATAGCATTTGAAGGCTTTTTAATTGCAGAAGATTGTTTTGTTCAAAAAGTGTCAAAACTACATTGACAGAATGAAGCTACACACATTGGTTGATGCATACACTACCATCACCTTTCTGAATACACATTTCAATCTCAGTTCACTCATATTTATCAAAGTGATATGTATACTATCTCTTGTGGTCACAACAGGAATATCAACTTGTTGAGTTTTGAGTGCCCCCAGAAAGACTTTACAATACTCTCAGGGGCCCTTCATCCATTGCCTACTCTAAGGAACACACCATTCAACTCATGTTTTACAATCTTGTATTCTAAAACCCATTCCCCTCTTTGCTTTCTGATCAGAAGGAGTTAGCATTTTAGTTTCATTTGAGAGGTATGGAAACTAAGATATAAAAATAAATTAAAAATCAATCTACTCATAGGATAACTCCAAATCCTAGGCCTAGACATGGGTTCCCTCTGCCATGGCAACCCTTGATGTTTTCCTTAAAAAAAATTTCCCTCAATTTTTTAAATAGTGTACCAAGACAAGCCCAGTATAATTATTTCAGGCCTCTTTTGGATTTCTCAAGTAGAGATATGATACTTTTTCCTCCTTGTCACCTTTTTTAAACTATGGGAGGAGCTAGGGAACTGATTATCATCTCTTAGGATAATATTGGTTCTTTCCTGATATTCTATAGCCCTACAATGTGATTTTATAAATAACTTATCTTCATAAAGTAAAAAGAATTAATTCCTCAGCTGTAAATACTTTGCCTTCCCCTCTACTCCTTTGGAGATTTTGCCATCTTCCTTCCTTGAGTTCTCAGCCCAAAGTCCACCAGTAACCCTTCACTAATATACCCATTCTCAAATCTGGCATTTTTTTCAGTCCCAGTTCTCCAAAACATTCCCCCCACCACTCCCAATGTGGTGCCAACCAAATTTTCTTAATAGCTCTACATTGCATTAGCTATTCAGATGAAATTCATAAAATCCTGACTCCTTGGGGTAGGTAAATCTGGCATTTTCTATTTAACCCATCACAAATGACATGCTTTCAAGTTGGCAATCTCAAATATGGTTTTTTGGGGTTCTTTTTTTTAATGTTCCAGTGAGACTGCTGGTTTTGAATTCCATATTCTTATTCATTCTCTGCTACCCACTGACATCCTTTTCCTCACCTCAGCACCGTCCCCAAAACTACCAATTCTAAACCTTTTTTTAATGTTTGTTTGCTGGCATAATTCATACCAGTAGGAAGTTGCTGTGACTATTTAAATATATGGGCTTAGTATTTTGGAGTCTATGGAGGTTGCCGTGTTTCAGAAAGTGTGGAACTGAACATTTTTTCTGAGATGTTATACATGAGGCAAGATCCAAATAAGATCCTCATTTTATAAATCCTTCATATTTCCATCTCACCAAATTCTACCTATACTTCAAGTCACAGCTCAAATGTCATCTCCCACATGAAATTCTCCCTGACTTCCTGCACAGAAGTGATCTCTCCTTATTCTGAACAATTTGTATTTTTCTTATGATTCCTATCACAGCCTATCCTTTATTAAATGATTGCTTCTGTGTAAACTTTAGTGTGCCCTAGTTGTATTATAAGTTCTTTAAGGATAGGGATCGTATCATATTTATCTTTGTCCCTCTCTTAGCAACTAATACAGTGCCTCAGCCATAAAAGTTGCATAAAATTTAATCTCTATTCCACATGACAATCCTTTAAATATCTGAAAGCATTTATCATTTCTTCTTTAAGTCTTCCCTTCTCCTGATTAAACATCAAAAGTAACTCAAAGCAGTCCTCAAATGACATAATTAGAGACCCTTCACCATTTTGGTTTCCCTTCTCTGGACAAGTTTCAGATTATTCATTTAAATGAAATGGCCAGAAGTAAATGCAATACTCCATATATGGTATGACCAGGGCATAGTACAGTGGGGCCAATCCATCCCTTGTTCTGGACACTATGCCTCTCTTAATGCAGCATTAGTTTTCTTATCAATTACCCTAGGATTCACATTAACCTTGCAGTCAATAAAATTTGCTAAGCATTTTTTCATATTAACTGTTTTGAAGCCAGATTCTTAATAGCATACTACCATGGTTAATATTTTTGGATTTAAGTGAAGGACTTTGCATTGATCCCCATTGTTTCAGCTCTTATTGATGGTATTAGCTCATCATTTCAGCCTTTTATGGGAATAAGCATTTGTTGTTGTTATTGTTTGTCTTTGTTCTCAAAGAGGACCATGACATCATGAAGGTGATGCCATGACATGCAGGTGAACTGGATTTAAGTGAGGGAGGGCTATGCAAAGTCACCAGCCTCACTTTCTCCTCCAGAACTATCTGGGTCCATTGGCCAGATATGAATTAGGACGACTGGAGGTGGCCCCACACCTGGTGGAAAACTTTGGCCTTTTAAAGCTAAGGTCTTTAGCAGGTCTCAGTTTGACAGGGGCAATGCCCATTCAGTGATTAAGGCAAAGTTTTAAAAAAAAATGAGGCAAAGAATGTCTTCTTTAACCTAGTCCAGATAAAAAAATCGAAGTAGGAGAGGAAGACCCTCAGGGTTTTTGGCTAAAATGAAACATTTCCTGTTTACATTCACTCTGAGTCAGTCAGGGCCCAAACAACTATGTGCCAGATACCTTGCTAAGCACTAGGTGGTTTTTCGGTTGTTATTCTTGCTGTTATTGTTGTTTTTTACAAATATTATTTTATTTGAGCCTTATAACAATCCTGAAATTCCTGTATCATTATCCCTATTTTACAGTTGAAGAAACTGAGGCAAACAGAGGTTTAGTGACTTGTCCAGTGTCACATAGCTAGGAAGTATCTGAAGCCAGATTTGAACTAAGGTCTTCCTGACTCCAGGCATGGTGTTCTATCCACTGCACCACCAGCTGCCTATATAAGCGCGCTTTTAATTGTTCGTGAAAATCACTGATTAAAATATATGGTGTGCTAGAAAGAACTCAGGTCTAGGAATCAATTTTCTAGGTTCTAGACCTAGTTCTACTACTAATTACCAATCACATAACTTCATTTCTCTCAATCTAGCTTTATTTTTAAATTTAAAAAACACTTATTACATCAATTCTAAAATCCCTTTAAGGTCTAACATTCTATTTATCAGCTCTTTCCTTTGCTGAATAAGATAAGGCTGACTACAGAGCTTTGCAGCTCATCAATAGAGACTAGGCTGCCATTTCTCCATATATCAATGATCTTTTCTCATATAAGATAGAAGAACCTGGAGAGAAAAAGACCTGAACCTTGTTTTGAAGGTGTGGA